ATAGATAGATAGATAGATAGATAGATAGATAGATAGATAGATAGATAGATAGCTGGGAATTTTGGTTAAAAGGAGTTAAAGTTAAGCCGCACTAATGATCAAGTATGGTTTTGGTAGCATCAAGAAGTTGGAGTGAAAAATGTACTATTCCCAAATTATTTAACTGTAGCTTTAATTAAATGTTGAGTGACTAAAAGTTAAACATAACAGTTCTATCCAACAGCACCACCTAGTTCTTTTAGCTAAAATCAAGTTGTTTTTACTATGCTGATTTTGGAAACACTATAACTATATAACTATAAGCATATAACTATATAAACATATGAATATATCTATAAGAAAGAGTCACAAATTGAATAATATTATGGACAACATTGACCACCTTCTTTCAAAGACCATTAAATAATATATTATCTTCAGTCAGTGACTTCTCTATCTGGTAAAAAAAAAAACAAACCAATAAAGAAGATCCTTCCTGCTTACAGCTATCAATACGTACAACAATTTGTAGAAAATCTGTCAATGAGGTGCTGCAACATTTAATTTTCCTTTGGAATTATTAAAGTATTTTTTTTATTAAATAGGACTGCCTTTGTCCGCTTAAAAATGTTGGTGTCTCTGCTTTTCTCTTAACTGGCTTCAACTGACCCAAAATATGATTGCACATCTTTTAACTTACACCTCTATATGGAAACACATCACTCATGTTTTATCATCCATCCATTTGCAGCTTGTCTGTTTTAGAGTAAATGTCCAACTTTGTTACTTTTTAAAGCTCCTAATGGTCTGGGCCCACTCTGGTAGGACCCTGAGGTCATCATTCCAGTTCCTTTTAAACGTAATGAGAACTAAATAGATATGGTGCATTCCATTTGTCCTTGAAAGTCAAAATTTCCATTTAACACCCTTGAAATTCAGAATTATCAGCTGGAAAGTTGTGGCAAGGTAGCTGACTTCTGCATTCAAGTGGATGCTACTCGCATCAATAGATAATCTTCCTACTTTGACTGTTTGTCGAAGCTCTTTATTAAATATATAGCATTAAGTCTACCATACACATATTACTTGTGTAGAACTTTTTTTTTTTTTCATTTTTATGGCTCTAACATTTTCAGTAGTGGCGATAGAGAAAGAATCTAGAGGCAGAAAACAAGAACAAGTTTACCACAGGCATTATGTAACTCCAACTGGCCAGTTTAAAGTTAAAATAATGGATAATGGGACACAGTAATAAAAATATACTTTGACTCTGGAATCAGCTTCCTCTGAACCTCTGAAGGCCTTTTGAAATCCAAATTTGATACCTTTTATATGAAGGAAAATAAATGAGTACATGTGGAGTAAATGTAAGAGGCAGGTTTGTGTCAGAGAAGCCTTTTCATGAATTTAAAAATTGGCCTCCACAAATGTTTTCTTAAATTCATTAAAGCTGGTTTCTATATCATTTTTTCCCTCTGAATAAAAGAACAATTAGCATGAGTGATGTCCATATTGAGTTTATGGTAAAGTAACTAACTGGCACTGCAAACATATACTTAAAGTACATAAAACTTTACTCTCTCACATACAAAGGAAGCTGTGCTTTTGTTCACTTGCCTCTTTCCTGATTTTATCCTTGTGACAGAGCAGTTGTTGCACAGTGCCACACTTGGTACTAAAAGCATTTTTAATACCAGCATTAACATTCATGGTGATGTCAAACACCTGCTGCTGTTCTTGTGAAATAGAAACAAGCTGCCACACACAGCATAGTGCTGGGCTGTATCCTCTTATTAGATAGGAGATAAAAGGACAGAATGCTGGAGCAGATTGAGTGTAAACACCAGTACATGCAAGGTGAGACAAAAATGCCTGAGGGTTAAGTTGCTAATTGACAAAACAAAGTAATGTATAAATCACAACGTGTGGTTCAGTGTCACAGATAGCATCCTGTTCCCGCCTTTTATTTCACCTTGCTCTGGTTATAAAATTTGAAACATCTGGGGCTTTTTTCACTGCATTTATGATTTTTTTTTTTTTTTAAGAGTTGAATTTTTGCAATCCAAATATCTCCAAACAATTTTGTGAAAAAAAAAAATCTAAACAGATTGTTTTTTATTTTTTTATTTTGGGGTTTAACAGGAATTCTTTTTACCGCTCTTTCATCCCACAGGTGCAGACTACCACCATGTGCATCTCTGTCAGTCTCAGTGGGTCGGTTGTCCTGGGTTGCCTCTTTGCTCCAAAAATCCACATCATCCTTTTCCAACCTCAGAAGAATGTCTGCAACCTCCGGGTGGCCACCACCCGCTTCAGCGTCAACACTGGTCCGGCCTCCAGTTTTTCCCAAGGTATTGTCAGATAAAAATAATAATTAATTCATTTCACCACTGGGTGTGACTGGGTTTTAAACTCCACCCTGAGTGATGACTCAGCCTTTAAACCAATAACATGATTCTGAATAGATGAATTTGCTTGAGAGGTTGAGTTGAAATATTATTTGAATAATAATAACTGAATGATTGTTATTTTGTATTCTTTCCCTGCAAGATTTTGAGCGGGTGATCTTTGAAACCATTTAAAACCACATATTTAACATTGTATTTTATCAGACCGTTCAATGATGAACTCTCCAACTCCGTAAAATCATAAAAGCCATAGTAGCTCATTCCTCAGGAACATTTAATTACATAAATTAAACACAAATAATGCTAGAAAGACAGAGCTCAGATAATTAGCTTATATTATTTAATCATGGATAAAATAGCTTGGTATTAATCAAAGTTATTACTAAGTTATTATGCTGCTTATTAATTTGGGAGAAAGTTCACCTTAATGCAGAGGTGGGAGATGTGGAGTCACCGAGTCATCTCTATGTCATATATTTCTTCTGCCAAGCCACTGAACCAGGTGAGTCCAACCTGCACAGTGAACTAAATCCTGTAGATTGGACTCACCTGGATCAGTTGCTGGACAGAACAAATACAATAGAGAAGAAGACATAGAGAAGACTTGATGGCTCCACATCTCCCACCTCTGCCTTCTTTATAGTTAATCTGACCAAAGTGTTAAAAATGTTTAATCTGCTGTCATATAACAACTACAGATTTAAGCTTTAATGTAGTGATTTTATATGAGAGACAGATATAGAAGCACGTAACTGTGAAGAGGAAGACATGAATGCACAGCTTTAGTTTTCCAAAAACTGTGCCATCAGTCTGAAGGTTCAGTTTTGATCTCCTCTGGTCAGAGAAGAACATGTTTTCTGGGGCCCCTAGAAAGTTCTACCGAATCAGCAGACTATTGCATCTCAGTCCCTGGAAACACAAAGCAACCATGAGTCTTTTGGCAGCCCTTGAGATCAATATTCGCCTGGAGCTGGCTGCCCAGTGTACGCACTACAGATTAACTATAGAATGGTTTTATTTTTACAAAAAAAAAAAAAAAACTTAAATCATTCATTTTTGTTTTGCAGCATCAGCCTCCAATGTTGTTCCAACAGTGTGTAATGGACGAGAGGTGGTGGACTCCACAACATCCTCCTTGTGAACATTAGGCTGGGTTATTTTCTTTTTGGCAAATTCTTGTAAACAGAGTTATATAATCACTAGTCCAGAATCAGGTGTCTCAGATAAGGATGGGGTCAAACATGCGACTATCGTGACTTTGTTGTCCTCAAAGTGCTGTGAGTAAAAATATCCCAATTTTGTCATTTTGTTCTTTGACTCGTAGAAATTTTGAAGGAAATGCCAATAAAGGAAATGATAGCTCCTGTTTTCTTTTTGGAGATTCTACTTGCAACAATTGAGTAAATTATAGTAAATCTGTTCAATGTAATATATTCGATACGTTTTTAATGTAGATTCTGGTGAACAGTTTGTGCTTTTCTTGTAATTTATGTAAATAAAATGTGTTTTTTATAAATACTCAAGTCTGTTTCTGAGTGTGATTCCTTTAGAGGAAAAATTTTAGATTTGTTAAATATAGCTACAGTATGCATTGAGGTTAAAAGCTTCAAAACCTTCTACAACAAAGTATTTTCTCATTATTAAACCTGTGGTGGTAACTTGTGTTGGGAATGGTTTAAAGTGTCTTTAATGAGGAATATTTATAATCAGAGGGAGACAAAAAGATAATAAAAAATCAAACCTTCCGGCTTACATTTAAGATACACTTCAGACAATTCCTAAGACAGAGTCTGTATTTGCCATTTATCATATCTGAGAAAGCACCTGTAGAAATGGCATAATAATTTAAAGTCATCCGTTAACACTACATCAGCTATCTGGGACCAAAAGCAAAATGCTCGAAAACAGAGCAAAGGCAGATTGGTGGATTCGCACTGCCATCTTGTGTCAGAAGTGTTTTTTTTTTTTTAGTCATCTAGAAAATAAAAAGTATCCTGGATAATACTGGAGAAATTACATAAAATAAAAACTTTTACCCTCTGTAATAGACTTGAGTTCTGGTATGCTGCTATTATTCTATTGTACATATACATCAAATTAAATATCCAGAGACCTCAAACTCAAAACAAAAGTTTAAATCTATTGTACACAGTGAAAATTTTTTTTATTATCTACATTTATATCAGACTATTCTTTTTCTGTTTTAGGTCAGTTATGATAATCATAACAAATTATCTATTTACTTGATACAGAATAGTGAAAGAGATCATTTTATTTTATATCAAAGTTAAATGTTTATTTCAAACTGAAAATATGAAACATAATGGTTCTTTGTGAGACATAATAAAATTTTTTTTTTTTTTATCTTTCAAAAATTAGCTCAGCTATCTGGAAGTAAATTCAGATCCCTATATCTCCGGTTAAGCCTCAAGTTCAACTGTAGGAAGCCTAAATGTCCCAAGTTTGCACAAACCAGCATCTACTCTTTAGGAAGAAAATAAGTTGTGTGTCTTAAAACTTAAACATTTTAACTGTATTTAATTTTAAATTTTAATTGCACATAAAATATATATATATATATATATATATATATATATATATATATATTATGAAAGAAGTCTTATGTGGGCTTTTACTGAAAACCTTAGCTCCATCACTCTAACAGGCTGTATTAAAGTTTGCAAATGTCCCTAAGGACAGTTCTTGGTTTTTGTTGCCATATTTTTTTATCCAATGAAATTAAAAGAGAAGTTTCTGGCCATAATGACCACAATAAAGAAAAAAAATTGACAAAACCATTCAAAGTGTGAGGCATTAGCAAGGGCTTCATTTGTAGGGGGTTAAGGGGGGGGTTTGAAACCCTAAATATATCTGATGCTGTAAATATAACCCTCATATCGCAACATTCCAATTTACAAAAAATATCTTTTATGAAAAGTATGCTGACTTTATTTGTATTTGCCAGAAAATATCTGTTTTGTGCCATAAACCATGATAATAATTTTGGACACTGAGTGTCCATGTTTCCTCTTAATATGATCACTGGGGAAGAGGTTGCAGTTTTGCTCATAAAATAGCTGTGAGACCTCTCTTCTCTACGCTGCAATCCCCTCTCAGCCAACTGGCTCCACAGGACGCCTCCCAATGAGGTGTGCCTTGGACCCCACATGGAGCTGAGAACAGTAAAAACCACAGCACAGAGAAGTCCTTTCTCTTTCCGTGAAGCTTCACATTGGAAGAGGATAAATCCATGGCACCAGGCCCAAAGGCCAAAATTTCCAGAATGATCCATGATTCCGTAAAAGTTTAAAAAACGATCCACTGGACTTTGTTTCCAAGGTTTGAAGACGTTTCGCTTCCCCTCCAGGAAGCTTTCTCAATTCAAATGTCTGGATCCTCAATGAGGGGTGATACCTGGAAGGGATCACCTCTATAACTGAATGGTAAGTTTTTGGAAACTGGAATCTGAGTCCACCACCTCTGTTTAAAGTTGTTTTTTCTCTCTTAACATAGATGGCTTCCTTCACGCCCCTCTCAAACCACCTATTTTATTTATCCAGAATGTGAACATTCTGGTCCTAGACAGGTTTCAGATATTACAGGCTAAAAATGGAACCAAACAACCCACTCGTCGGTTTCAATTTGCATGTTGCCAAACAAAACAAGGCCTTGTCTATATAAAAAGTCAAACTCACTGCAGATCCAGACATTTGAATTAAGAAAGCTTCCTGGAGGGGAAGCGAAATGTCTTGAAACTTTGGAAACCAAGTCCAGTGGATTGTTTTTTAAACTTTTACGGAATGACTATGACCTGGATGACTGAGAATCTTCATCAGGATAAGCCATGATGGTTGACTTTTCAGATCCTAACTGCTGCTAAAAAGACTTTTTGCAACACATTTCTTTGAGTTTCAGAACTTACAGAGCCGGACTGGAGGAGAAAGTCTTAAAGGGCCGTTCCCTTAGTTGGAGACGCGTGGGACTAAGAAAAGCCCCCTTTGCTGTGAGCCTGCCATGCTACAGTAAGCTGCTGCTGGATGAAAACTCAAATCTTCCAAAAAGGACAGGAACAGAGGTATAAGGTCTGTCACAGTTAGGGAAAGAATCTAGTGAAACAATATTTCTTTTGATGATTTTGATCATTTCATGTGTTTACTGATGGGTAAAGACAAAGCTAACAGGATGGATCACATGGTACACTATGCTACAGTAATATGCTTTGAGCTGTTGTTGAAGATTGGACACGCTTTATTACACTAAGGGTTTAAACACTGATATAACATTAGTGTTTATTTGTTCCTCAAATGCTCATTACATTTCCAATACCAAGTTATGACTAAAAGCCATTTAATGGAATCCTGATCTCTATTTGCTGCTAGCTATTTCAAAGAGAGTAAAGAATCATTTAACTAAAGGTTATTGGTTCCTGATTAAGCAAATTATTCAATTAAACATTATTTGGCCAAATAATTTTCACCTCATGGATTTGCATTATGAATTGGTTTGAAAACATTCAAATCGCTATAAATCGGTGAAAAACTAATTTGATCACATCCAAAATTCTTCAAGGTAAACTTTGGTTCTCAAACACAAAATCAGTGCTACAGTAAACTGTAATATGGTTTTCAACCATGCTTCCCCTTCCTCTTCGAAGATAGTAGTTTAGTTTAGTTAAGTTTCACTAGTTTTTAGTCAAAAGTTTTAAACCGAAATATGTTTGATTTGGAGCTGAATGATTTTTGTTAATAAACTCTTATATTTTGAACAGAAGTTGTGGTGAATTTATTCCATGTATGTGTAGAGTTAACTGTTTGACTAGGATTTGAGCTCGAATCACTCTTTCGTTTGTTGTTCTAACACACAGCTAGCAGGGCGTGTGTTCATAAACAATATATGACATTCCGAATAATATCTGATTAAATAAGATATTTGCCACCCCTACCGGGGAGGGCAATAAACATCTTAAGGTATCACAACACGTGTTTAAATATTTGGTAACTTCCCCCTACCCCCCAAAACTTGGAATCCTTCACCCACAGACCTGTCTCTACCATGATGCAATTTAGGAAATCTTTTATTAGAGTTCTGACTTGGAGTGTAGTTCCAATGAGGAAGAATCCTATTTTAGTGATTTGAAATTGAAAAACAGAAGACAAGTTCTTCTAAAAACAATTACAAAACGGCCTGCCATAACATATACTACTAAATGCACAAACTCGAGCAGCGATAATCTCCTTCGCCATCTCCCTCTCCTTTGCAACTGTAGCGTTCCTGCTTTTTCTTTTACAAACATGCTCCATCTCACCATATGCCTGCATTTATATCTCTATGTTGTGAAATAGGAAGCCTTCCTCTTTGCTGTTGTCATGGTGACTCACCGAATTGGGGCTTTATTAATGATGGCTTTTTATAGATATTAGGCACGAGTTTGACTCCGAGTGAACCTACTCAGAGTTGATTAACTTCTCACACCAGCTGTTGTGAAACTGAAATCTCAGTTTCCATCCTAAGATTAGATCAATTCAGTTCATTTCAACTGAGCTGTTTGCATTTGGAACATGTTGCTGTCAGCTCAAACAAGGTCCAAAGAAATCTTATCATCAGTGAAGCAAGCCATCTAAAAAATAAAAACAAACCCATCAGAGAGATAGCAAAAAAATTGGTGTAGGCAGATAAACTGTTTGGAATAGAGAGTTCAGCAAAATATGTAAAGCACTGGCATGGTTCATGAAACAGGAGGGCCAGATTAGAGTTTGCCAAACAACATCTGAAAAAGCCTTTACAGCTCTAAAACTACATACTATGAGCAGATTAGACAAAGATCAACTTGTATCATACCAGCATAGTGGAAAGAGAAGAGTATGGAGATGAAAGGTATGGCTCATGATCCAAATCATACCACCTAATAATTGAAGCATGGTGGTGGTAGTGTCATGGTGTAGGCATGTACGGCTGTCAAAGGAACAGGTTTCCTTGTATTTATAGATTATGTCATCCATAACAAAAGCAGCAGGTTTGATTTATTGCCAACTTTTCCAATAGGTTGTGGTCCCTTAAAAAGTGGGAGGAACATTTACAAAGTGTTATAATTCCTTCACCTGACTTGAAAATAGCCTCAAATTAATGCTGAAATTCTTCAGTTCAAGTACATTTTGTTGGTTTCAATTCAAATCCACGGTTGTGGTGTATAGAGCCAAACAATATAGAATTGTATGGACCTTACCATGTGTGTGTATATATAATATTAAAAGGGGGCCACTGAAAGAGTAGGGGCATGTTCCCTTGTCCTGACACCTATTTAATAAGGATAGCGAGTTTCTCTAGTTTTGTGGCTGAAGTCTGGGCCCAAAGAGAAGAGCAGCCTCTGCTGCCAAGGCAGGAGGAAAAAAAAAGTCACACATTGTTTAATTTATGATATTTGAACAGGTGGGGTCCTGTTCATGAGTGAGGGGAGGGTTGAGTGTGGGATAGACGGATTGTTCCGCTGTTTCTATAAATGCAGACTTTGTAACAGGCTGTTGTGGTAAAAAGAGAGCTGAGCGAAAAGGCAAAGCTCTGGATTTACCAGTTGCTCTACATTCCTACCCTCACCTATAGTCATAAAGTCTGGATTATAATAAAATGAATGAGAGCCCTGTACAAGCTTTCTCCACAGGTCGACTGGGCACTCCCTTACAGACAGAGGGAGGAGCTCGGTCATCCAGGAGAGTTTAGGACTAGAGTCACTACTACTACACATCAAGACGAGTCACATTTCGGGTGGGTCATAAATAAACAACAATAAACATTATATTTAATACATGGTAAATAATAAAGAAATGGGGTAACAAAATACACAGGAAGAATAAAATACAAAGGTTCAACAAAAAGACAAAAAAACAGACCAAAAAAATGAATGGGGAATAAGAACATTTGCTATTTATTTCTCATATTTCTTTCTTATTGTAATTGAATTACTGTTTACATTTATTTCTTCACTGTATTTTTGTTCATTTGATTGTATATCTATTTTTCATTGAGAATTTTGTACATTTATTTGTTTATTTTCATGACGTCACGCCTCTTGATAAGAAGCGTTGCCGTGTCTGACCGCCAGGTGGCGACCGCGGCGCAGCTGCAAACAGTACAGTGAGGTCCAACCTCTTCCTTTAATGACTGGAGCCTTTCGAGAACCAGTGAGGCAGCAGTAGGAAGTGATTCCGCAGGGAATATTCGCCTACTAAAGATCTACCGTAGCTACTGATATCAGTTATTCAAGAAAAGGTAGGTTTTCTATTAGTAGATATTAGTGTTATTTCCTGATCAGTGTGAAGCGGAAGGATTATTTGATATCCCAAACTTATAAAAACAATTTTTTTCTCTCTGTTATTTGAAAAATGCAAAACAAATTGCATTATCTGGACAGTAAATTACATGGAAAGCTATAATACTATGTAAATGTACAACATGTGCATTATTGACCATGTTTAGTGAGAGACAGCGCCACTGGGCGAGTCCAGGCATATTCCCTTGTCCTGGCAGCACATCCAGTGATAAGCATAGTGAGTTTCTCCTGTCTTTAGCTAAAGCATGGCCCCAAAGAGAAGATCAGCCTCTGCTGCTAAGGCAGGAGGAAAAAAGGTGAAAGAGGAGCCCAAGGACGCCTTCACCTCTGCAAAAGAGGCACTTCTGGCTGCAGGGCCACAGATGAAAGGCAAAAGGAAGGTGGATGAGCACTGCTACCTGTCTTCAGCAGAGGTAGATCAAAAGCACTGACAGTCCATATTATGTCATCTATCAGTGAGACTTCTGAAAGTTAAATACTTTTTATTATTTCCATCAGGTGCACGAGGATTATGACTGCATGCTCAACCAAACAAACATAGGAAACAACAACAACAAGTTTTACGTCATTCAAGTTGTAAAAGAAAACAACTCCTACTATTCATGGAACCGCTGGGGAAGAGTGGTAGGTTATATCCGACATGATTCAGTTAATGTTGATTTTTTTGTTTTGTTATTATATGAAGCCAAATCAAAAAAAGATGTCATCTCAAGGCATTTAAGCATCCTGTCATGTTTTCCTACAGTTCTGTTTTCCAGTATGCTCCAGATTTATTTCAAATGAACCTGAAGCGTTCTGATAAAGCGTACTCATAATCAGTGCAGTTATATTCTAAACATATAACAATCACTTTATGACAACAGGCCAATTATCTAAGTATCCTAGTTAATTTTGTAAAGTCTTTTACTTTGTAGAAAACCTTCCTTCTGAGCAGGCATCTGGTGACAGTGGAAAAGAAAGACTCCCTTTTAACTGGACGATATCTAACAGAACAATGCTCAGTTAGAGAGGTTGTAACTTTTTTAAACCATGCTCTTGGGCTGGGGTTTACACAAGGCTGGTGACATGACTGTAGAACAACAGCATGATTTTAATTGCAACTGGTTCATACTGGTTGTTTAAAAAAAATAAAAAAGTTATTCATTATTAGGGATGGGGATCGAAACCCGGTTCTATCAAGGACCCGGTTCCCCTTTTTTCAAAACCCGAAAATCAATAACGTTTGGGGTTATCGATACCACTATTGAGTCTGGTCGTTTTTTCTTTTCTCCCGGAGGTCCTGTAACATAATTGTGTGTTCCTCGAGTCGCGTCACAGCATTTAAATCTAATCAATCCAATCACTGCAGCATGTCCACCAATGTTTTGGAATGAAATTGTAAGCAAACAGAAATTAAAAGTAAAACAAGTCTGGCAGTTAACTTCGCTCGCGACTCGAGGATGGCTGAACGGACGAAAAGGTCTAAAGTTTGGCTTCATTTTACCAAGCTCAAAGATAAAGAAGAAGCGAAATGCAACTTATGTTGCAAAATGATCTCTTTTAAAGGGGTGAACACAACCTCAATGGCCAAGCACATTAGTATTGTGCATGAAATAAAGGTCAAATGCAGTACCTTCGACTGTCTCCGGGTTGAAAAGACTCCTCCTCCTCCTCCTGCTGCTGCCGCTGCAGGAGGAGGCTGTAATCGGCAGCATACAAGCTAGTTAGCTTGAAAAATAAATAAAGTTTCAGACGTGCTGCGTGATGATGTGTTCAGATTGGCTCAGTAAAACGACAATTAGGTTATCATGATGCGTTCAAGTGTAACGTAAAGAAAAGGGATATTGAGTTTTTGGCGAGAAACATGAGCAATACAGTTGTATATTGCTCTAATTATTTTAGAATATATAATTAAACTACTGATGCCAACATTTATTAAAAATTACATTTAATTTAAAAGACAATTATTTATTTGCTAAATATTTTCCTAATAACTAAAAACACGATGAAAAGTGACAGTAGACAATACATTAACCAACAATTGTGAAAATTTATATATTTTTTTAAACCAAAAGAAGACATTTCTTCAAAATATAGGACATTTCTTCAAATAATTTTTTTCCCCACTTCCTTTCTGTCTGTTAAAAACATATTGTCGCACGGTCTTTCCACCAAATAACAGAAAAGTATCGATAGTGGTATCAATAAAGACTCGGATCGATAAGAAGTATCGATAAAGGTATCGATATCAATAAATATTAACGATCCCCATCCCTATTCATTATATAAACACTGTGCAACTGAAATGAATGCTGTGTTGTAGTGATCTAAAGGTGCAGCCTGCAACTTTTATTTTTCCAGGCTTCTGGAAAAACCCAGTTTTGGGGTTTAATCCCAACTTTACATCCCGTTTTGTAATCCAGGTGGGTCAGCGGGAAGCTTTGCACACCTATGGAGTATAACTAGTCTCAGAAACTCAGGCTTTCCGCACTTTTACAGTTTTCTGGAAGTTTGTTCCAGATAAGTGGAGCATAGGAACTAAATGCTGCTTCTCCATGTTTAGTTCTGGTTCTAGGTATGTAGCAGCAGCAATTTAGTATTTAAGTCATCACACAATGACAGGATGACCACAGCGGGGTCCACCTTCTGAGCGTAAGCGATCATCATGGACTTCTACAAAGAAGAAAGTTAACAGCTGACGAGCAGAAATTAAGTACATGCCTGTTTTTAGATGTTTTATCATATGTCATATAGGCTAGCTGCCTATATGTTTGTTCCCCTCAACATCAACTGTTAACTTTATTCTTAATTTTACGGAAAAGCAACAACCTATCAGTTAAAGGCAAGGGAAGTTTATTTATATAGCATTGGTAGAACTTTTCAAATTGCTGTACATGAAAAAAATAAATAAAATATTTTAGTGCCATAAAGGTGAATATAATATTTTAAGAAAATATAATTATAAAAATTAATGGAAAATAAAGTGATCGTATTAAAAAAATGAAAGGACTCAAAATGTAACTATGTTTAGATGGCACAGCGAAAGGCTACTCGAAGCAAATATGTTATTAATCTCAATTTGAAGCATTTTAGAGTTTTGCAGATTTTACTGTATTCTGGGTGTTTATTTTTAGATTAGAGGCGCATAACAAGTAAAAGCTGCTGCTCTGTTTTTGATTCTAGGTATGCAGAGTCTATTTGAGTCAGAAGACCTGGGAGGTCTGAGTGGTTAATACACTGACAAGCCTGTAATGTATTTTGTTGTTCAGTCATTGGGGGAGTTTTAGACTAACATACGTATTTAAAAGTTTATTCTCTGAGATACGAGGAGCCAGAGTAACAACTTTAGGACTGGGATGGTGTGCTCCACTGTCTTAGTTTAGGGGAGACTAATTTTATATCAGCAGTACCATTGCTTTCACGTTTCTTTTTTTCTTTTGCCTAAACTACTGTTTTCCTTTTTTTTATCTTTTTTTTTCAGTGAATGTAAATAGAACATTAAAGAGGCATGACTGAGTTTTCTAATGATACTGCCATCTGTGGCCAAAACACAGAACTGCAGAACTCTTCTGCTCATTCTTGTAGGCCGTGCAAATGCTTCAAGTTTTTCTCTTCTTTTTAAAATTATTTTTATCTTATATAGGGTTGTCATTGGTGTCTGGAGCTTGGTATCGGTCACTTCTGAGTATTTACAAAATCCCCGAAAAATCCATCTTGAATATAACACTTCCATTGTTTGCCAGGTTGTACCTACTTAACATGAGCATGCTTGACTTCACATCTGCAGAAACAGCACGGTAGCTTGAGGTAAAATAGGCTCATTTAAAAATGTTTAAAGACATACAACAAGCTGTTGTGAAGCGCCTTGAACTAGTAAAGTCCAGAAACCAGCACGAAAGTTCAGCACAAGATGACTGCTCTGACTTAAATATCACCTTTTCCTCTGTTGTCGGAGTCTCGTGAGAAAAACCTCTCCTGTCTGGCAACTGTCAGACACATATTTAGGTGTGTTTAGCCAATCAGCATCAAGCAGCCAGCTTTACGATCTGCCCCTGCTCCATAGACCCCATAAGAGGCCTTTACTTTCTCGTTGGGTAAATTACAATACATGGATTAGAGACTTGACTGGCCTGCCGATACCTGCTGATCCAGAGCAGAGGGGCGTATTCACCTAAGAGCGGGCTCAACCGAATATTGATAAATCCAGCATAATTAAGCGGACATTTAATTCAGTTTAATGACCACATTTCTGAAATGTAATAATACATATTTGACCAATTATTTTATTAAACTTATAGCTGAGGTTTAGCCTCCCTAGAGTTCAATGAGAAATCGCCGCTATTGTAATTGAACATTTTTTATATAGTGGTAATTAGATTAATATGCCTAGTAAAACTAAAAAAAAAAAAAAAACGGGTGTGTTTGGTTTTCAAAAGCCTTTAAATCCATTTTGGATTAAATAACTTTTTTTTGTTGACATGGTATTTCCTAAGAAAGTGATTTCTTTACCTAATTAATATTAAATGAACACTGGGAGGTATTATTACACTAAATCTGCGTTATTTTAAACTTTTTAGGGAGAAATGGGACAATCCAAACTGACTGCGTTTGATAAGGTTGAATCGGCTGTAAAAGACTTTGAGAAGAAGTTTAAGGATAAGACCAAGAACAACTGGGCTGATCGGATGAACTTTGTTTCTCACCCTGGGAAGTACACACTGATTGAAGTAGAAGGAGAGCAGGATGCTGAGGTCAAGGTGATGTAACACATCATCCCATTGCAGCATGAAGCATTGGGTAATATTTTCATTAGCTTCGTCTTTGGAAGCAATCTATATCTACATTTTTTTCTCCACAGGTGGACCATGTTGATGGCAAAGCAGGGGGAGTCTCCAAAAATGTGCTCCCATGCACTCTCGATGAAGCTACACAGAAACTTATTAAGCTCATTTTCAGCAACGACATGTTCAAGGAGGCGATGGAATGCATGAATTTAGGTGGCTGTGTCTCACTAGCTTGGCTTGAAGTTGAGATTCAAAATGTAGTAATGAAAAAAATTAAAGAACAGACATGCAAATGGTCAACCATTGTTAGAAACAAAGGGTGAAATTGGACTCTCCTTATCTTAGCTTATTTAAATATAGGTATTTTAATTCTTATATGATGTCTCTGTTCTTAAAGTTTTTTTTTCTATTTAAATTGATATAACGCTGCATATCCTTTGCTATCTTAAGCCGTTTTAATTAAACAAATTTATTAATTGTAATTAAATTAAATACATAAAAAATACAATTAAGCAAAATTATTAGTAACTATTCCATAATATAGATCAATTTGCTTATTAAAAAATAAATATACATTTAAAAATATTTCTTTAGCTTTAGAAGTCTGTATACCAACTTCTGACTAGTCTGTAAAGCTGTATAATCCCGGTTTGTTTAAAAACACTGCCTTCTCATTTGAATAAAAGAATAGTAAATAAAAGACAAATAAGTCAACATAAAATACCTAAAATAGCTTTATAAAATAAGTGTTACAACACAATTATGAAACAAATACATTTTAAGAATAAATCAATCTTAAATTTCCGAAACTGAATGAATAGTAAAAAAAAAAAAAAAATCTTGAGTTAAATGCACAACAATGACACTCATGCCTCTCGCTTTTCTTGGGTACAATAACGAGGGTCTTCCTAATCGGCCGGAATAATTAACTAATGCTCTTAATCTCAAAGGCATTGTGCTGCAGGCATCAGAAATTTGGTATGTGCTGCACTTCTGACAATGAAGTTTCTAGAATAGTGTTCACATCTCCAAAATAATGCCTCTAGACAGATAAACTGCACGCAACATGTTAGAAATCTTGATGTGATCAAACCACTCCAGTAAGGCTGAAACTTACTGTGGAGGTGCAAAAAAAACCCCATCAATATTCGGTCTTCGTGAGCTTAAAGACTAAAGCTATTTCAAGAATGCAAGAGTTCTTTAAAAGACTAATTTCAATGTTTATAATGCTTTTTAGCAAAGCAAGTGTGCCAATAGACCTAGTGAAATCCTTGATTTAACCAGTTGTTCTTTGTTCATGTACATTTTAGACATCAAGAAGATGCCCCTGGGTAAGCTAAGTAAGGTACAGATTGCAAAAGGGTTTGAAGTTTTGGAGGAGATTGCAGCTGCTATCGACCAAAAGGGTAGAAGAGGGCACCTTGAAGAACTCTCATCAAAGTTCTTTACTACAATCCCTCACAACTTTGGCAGGACCAGACCTCCAACCATAGACAGCAAAGAGATTGTTGAGAAGAAAAAGGAGATGCTCATGGTAAAATATTTATTTAGTTTTAGTTTTGCTCTTATAAAAGTTGTCAGCACTAACATTCTTTTAAAATGTTGTTCCTTAGGTGCTGGCAGACATTGAGCTCGCCCAGACACTGAAATCAGAAACAGAGAAAGCTCAGGAAGAGATGATGGAGACAGTTCCTCATCCTATTGACCAAGACTACACTTCGCTCAAATGCAAACTGTCTTTACTTGCCAAAAATACAAATATGTATAAGGTACTGTGCCCTTTTATAGCTAAAAATAGGTATAATTTTCCTGTCCCTAAGGTGTTTAAAGTTTTTTGCCTCTTAAGATCATTGAGAAATACACAAAGGCAACTTCAGGTCAAGGTCGTAAGCCAAAGATTCTCAATGTTTGGGAGGTGGATCGAGAGACAGAGGTAAGTCTGATCTGCCAGTTTTCTGCTTTTATTGGAAAAAAACAAGCTGTGATCTAATACTTTGTAAATTCAAGGGAGAACGCTTTAGTGAAAATGACAACCTAGAGAACCGCCGCCTGCTCTGGCATGGCACAAATATAGCAGTGGTGGCAGCCATCCTCAAAAGTGGTCTTAGGATCATGCCCCATTCTGGAGGCCGGGTTGGCAGTGGGATCTACTTTGCCTCTGAAAATGCTAAATCTATATGTTATGGTGAGATACCTCTAATAAGACTATATTTTCCATCTTTTCAGATCGTAATATTATATTTGACTATATAGTATTTTTTTTTATTTTTTTTTTAGTGACTACCTCAGGCAAAACTGGAGTGATGTTTCTAAGTGAGGTGGCTCTGGGTAAGGAGTTCACCATTACCAAAGACAACCACACTTTGAAGAAGGCCCCTGCAGGTTATGACAGTGTGGTAGCACGAGGCACTATGGAACCAGGTAAAATACTTTGATGCATTTCTAAATCTTACTCTTAAGGTTATTGCCTCTGCAGGACAACACAGCATCTGTGATCAAAACTTGGGATGAGTATTTATTGATGGGTGACTCAGCAAAGGCAACAATAAAACGGTTGAGCCAGATAGGAAGTTAGACATGGGAGGAGCAAAGTGGATCTGGTACATGTCGGAAAAGGGACTAGAAGCCATTCTTATTGATGACAAGGGCGTAGGTTTGATTTCCACTTTGGTAGGGACACTATTGGTCCTAAGTTTAATTACTGTCATTTTACCTTTGCAAAAATATGCATGCTTTTTTTATGCTTGACGTGAGCATCAGGGTGCATTTCGTTTAAAGAGAAAAGCAGCGTTTCTTGCTACATTTATACTAATTTTATCAGCACTACACACATTAGATGTTGTTTATCAATGTTTGAAGCGTCACTGGCTCTGATCAATGTGGCATTAATTATTTTTCACTTTGAAAAGGTTTGCATTTAAACATACCTGTGACTAAGACAGTAGGTAAATATGTGCCTAATATAGTCTAAATATGCCTGTTATATGTGGGTTTATTCTGTATTTTCTTTTGAAGATACAGAATTGTGCAAACATAAACGGGTGAAACACACTCTTATTTTTTGAATGCTCTCTCTGTATCATGAAATAACGCAAAATAACACATTCAAGGAATGGCAAAAACGTTTATTGTATTTATATATAGTGGCATCATCTACAAAACACAACACTAAAAATTTGACTAAATTTATTCCAATATAAAATCACTTTTAACAATTATTAAAAGAAAACATAACACCTTCTTGTCTGTAATGTAATAATATTCAAAATAAACAGCCGGATTAAAGCATTTTTTACTAAACACTAATGTAATTGTAATTGGCTTTATCTTATTTTTAAAAGTAGAAATAGTCAAAGAAATTGCAACATTATGTGGAACCGTAATCATGCTTTCTAAACAAAAATAACAAATGTTTAGGCACCATCTTGTGTTGTTATTCTCTATAAAAGAAATAACACCTGCTATTTATAGCTGAACTGCCTCAAAGGGTCGTCATAAAGTGAAAACAGTAATAACAATGAAGTATTGTTAAAAGGGAAACCCTCACATTTTTTTTCTCAGTCGGCCGTCGCTAAGAATCAGCAATCAGCAGCTTTCGCCTGTTTAAGTGTTGATAGAATTAAGTTTTTTTCATTAGGACTAGTTTTGTAGCCTAATATTATTTTCAGTAACTAGAGTGAATAAAATTCTTATTTCGTGTTCCAAGCACGCACAAACGCATACGGACTAGAAAACAGCCAATCAGGAAGAGAGAAGGTGGAACTTGAGGCAGAGCAACCAATGAGAGTGGAGCTAAACAGGACAGTTACTGATTTAAGGGACAGGAAAGACCGGGCAGCTAGACGGAGCGGCAGCATCAGCTAATGAGCTGCGAGAGAAAAAAGATAGGCTGTGATCACACACAGTGGCTGATTTGTAAATTATAAACATGTTTTNAGACGGAGCGGCAGCATCAGCTAATGAGCTGCGAGAGAAAAAAGATAGGCTGTGATCACACACAGTGGCTGATTTGTAAATTATAAACATGTTTTTCAAATCGAATTATTGGTAGGGACAAATAGGTCTGTCCAAAATTTTGGTAGGGACATGTCCCTATGGTCCCTATGCAAACCTATGCCCATGATTGATGAGATATTTTCCACAGGCTCGGTGGTGCTGTGGCATGACAGAAAACCTTCTGTCATTTTTTGTTAAACATAGAGAATTTTTATGTTTTTTAAAGATTGCGAAGCACAACGGGAAAATATATCTAAAACCTCACAAGACAAACAGAAAGTCAGAAATGGGAAGAGTTAGGTTGAGGGGAGTTGTCTTGATCAATGTATCCTACTTGCATTTAGTTGGCATGATGGATGAATTAAATTTTTATGACGGATTCATTGTGAATAAGGTGTTACACCACAGCATCCAACAAACAGATTTGCCCTCACTGATGTAAGAATTGAAGGGTTTCAGCGAAATGTAACTGATTGTCGCTTACTGACACAGAAAGATAATAGCCGTCACACCTTCAGAATTAATAAAAGACAAACAATGTAAAGTATGTAAATGAACGGATATATATTACTGTTGAGAACCCATGAGATGATGAACAGGTTCCACCTATTAAAACAACATTTTTAGACCTCTTCTTCACCTGCTGCCAGATGATTTCACCTAAATAGATACATTGATCCACTACCATTGAAGAAATAAACCCGTAATGTTACTGTGGTCACAACACACTACGACAAGCCATTTTAATATGTACTACTTTTACTAAACATGTATTCCTGTTATCTGAAAAAAAAAACTTTGTTTCCTTGTCAAAATGACCATTTCAAACAAAATTACATTGTTCACATCTAGAATAGGCATTCTGTATGTCTAGAATTGAACTATAGATCTCCATATTCCTGTTGTATTATTTTTCCTATGTCAATACATATTCAGTCAAGGTGAGAAATTTCAGAACGGCCACTTAAAATGCGTAAACATTTCTAGGTATATAAAAACAAATTCTTACTAGTATAATTTTGTTTTTTTCATTTTCTAAAATTTATTTTCTCCTGCAAAAATGTATTTTAGAAAATACTGTATATAATTACAGTTCAGTCTAGCAGTGTGATTTCTTATCAGGAAGAATCTCATTTTAGTGATCTATAAATGGAACTAAAGAGGAGAATGCTTTTAATAAACGTAAAAACGACCTGCCATAGGGAGTTCATATAAACCTATCCATTAAGTCGAGCAACTTTCTCCTTCTCTATCTTCTTTTAACACATTCTCCGTCTTTTCTTTATTTCTTTATTAAAATCTCTAGTTCCCGTTAGGTGAAATAGACACCTCCTGATGAGTGTTGTCATGTTTACTCGTCGATTTGGGGCTCCACTGACGATAGCTTTTTAAACTTGTTACAGAAGTGCTTAATTTTGAGTGGACCTACTTAGAGTATCTCTTTTAACAGTTTATAGGCTTAACGTGGGTAATTTTTTATTTAAATGTTTTATGGTTAAAGAGCCCTGAATAGCCAAAAGAGGTAATTAAAACAAAGTCACACCAAAAACATACAAAAAATTACAAAGAAAATTGTCAACTTAAGAGGGTAAGGCTCCACTATGTGTAAAGAAAGTATTTTTGTACAAACTAGTGGCGGCCTAGTGGTTAGGGCATAGTGACTTCAATCCCCCCACTCCCACAGACTGCCACTTCCAAGGGGATAGGTTAAATGCAGAAAATTGATTTGATTATTAAAGTATGTTAAAATAAAAAACAAGACAAAAAACAATTTGAAGTGGATGGTTCACAAAAAACTTGAATTTAAACAGGATGGGTTCATTAAGCATGGTTTCTGTTAGCTGGCTTATCATTATATGTGTTTTATCTGGTCTTTTTTTTTTCATTTAGCAACTATTCCTCTGTTGTTAGGAAACAAAAAATATAATCCAGCCTAATCAGCCACTCTTTGGCACATTTTACCAATCATAGTAATTTTATACATGAACATAAGTTATGAAAGCTTGAAAGACCAAAGGAAGTTTTGGTTGTCTGTTGTGTTTTCAGATCCGTCTAAAGACATCGTCATCAACCTGGAAGGCAAGAAGGTCACTGTTCCTCAGGGAAATGCCATCAACCAGCCGCAATACTCTGAAAGCTACTTCAGCAGTAGTGAATACCTGATCTACAAAGAGAGCCAGTGTCGCCTTCGCTATCTGCTTGAGATGGAAATAAATTATTAGTTGTAAAGATTCAACTCTGATTGTGCAGGTCCTAAGGAATAGTTACTCCTACCATATTGCATAAGCGCCTTTTTCTGTTCTGTGCCTTACAATCGTATGCATGATGCATAGAATGTGCTTTGGCTTTGCACATACTTAGGTGAAATACAAAAGTAATATTCTGTACTTTATAAAAAATGGTGAATTTTCTTAATGCTTTTGGAAATCTGTAGTTGACCATGCTTAAATGGTCAGAATGTTTGTTTGCACTCTAGGGTTTTTAAGGGATGTTTCACAACTTTATCCAAAACATTAGATGCTTATAGTCATGACTTAGGATTTCAAATGAATGTAATTAATCCTACAGTTTTTCATGTAGGAATATATGAAGGCTAGCTGACCAAGAAGAAGAAGAATTATCTTTTTTGGAACACTTTCCTGGAGATGGTCCCTTTACATGTATAAACTTTAGCTATAAAGTGACTTCCAGTATGGATTTGCACCTCTATTTTAAATAAAATAGAGCAAGAGTAAAATGGAAGTTAATATACATTTGTGTTTACAGGCGAGTGAAGTCCAGCATGTTGTTCACAATGAAAAAAAAGTAATACAGTGATTGTCATTAGTGACACATGCTAATTGCTAATACTTTTATGTACTTATGGTTTCAGATTGTTGAGACATGATGCCACACACTAACAAAAAAAAAAAATCTTTATTTTGCACACACAAGCCCTGAATTATCCAATAAACAGAAACAGGCACACCTGTAAACCTGTCTGTGTTTAAGAAATTATTGTGTAATAAATGTTAATACAGAAGAAAATATTAACCTGAAGATTTTTCTTGTAAAATGTCATTTTTTTTCTTGCTGGTTTTCTGGTTTTTACCTCTAACAGGTTGTCTTTCAGGGTTGCCCTGAATTTAACTGAATCTATTTATTGGACGTCTATATCCATCATCCCTGTCTTTATTGAAGAAGACCTTCCCCACTGCATGATGCATCATGTGGTACTGTGAAGTTGCACTGACAGTAGTTTGCATTGTTAGTTTTTCCACAGATAGTGGATACTTTTGGTTTCAACTGATCAGACCACCTTTTTGCCCGTGGTCTTTAAATCCACATCCAGATAGGTTTTGCTCTTATTTCAATCAATCAATTTCTTCCTTTTTGAAACCCCCCATTAGAACTTTTTTCCGTTCATAAATGTAGGTCTTTTTAACTAGAAACTTGTACAATACATTTCAGCTTTAGTACTTACATTTTAGGATTAACATGCTCTGTATATAAGTAAAATATTAAACTTTACCTATAGAAGAGCATGTTATTTTAATCTTGCCAATACTTAATGGGATATTGTATTAGAATTACTGTCATCTAGCATTTAGATGGGTTATTTCACTCAAACGAACCCTACTGCATCAGTGGCCTCAATCATGTAGGCCTTTTGCGGCAACGGTAGATGTCGTGCAGAGATGGGTGGTCCAGCTCTAGAAAGTAAAAGCTCTGCCTAGTTTGCTTCATGTTGTTCACATAACCAGATCATTAGCTTCCAGTATGTGTTGTAGAGCTGAATACGCATTTTGTTGGAACTAATCTACTAAACCCATGGAAACCTACAATTCTGTATCGTTAACTGTTTTTTATTACTCTTCGGCTACTCTTATCCATAGCACTGACAACCCCAATTAAGATGGCTAAGAATTCCAGTAAACTCTGATCATCACTCCGCCATCATGCTTGAAAAGTTCAGTTTAGGTAACGGCATATAGAGTTTTCTAGAAGACATTTCGCCTCTCATCCAAGAGGCTTCTTCAGTTCAAATTAGTGGTGGAGGGCACTGAGATACAGTACCATAAACTGTATATATGCCTCATTTAAGTGTGAGTCAGGTGAGGACATTGCCCTCCCTCTCTTGTGACTCACACTTTAATCATCACACATCAGAACCCTGTAAAGACCATTAACCCCAATCCAGTCGGAGGAATCAGATCTTCACTGATATGAAACACAGCCATCTGCTTTAATTGCAGACAGCTCTGTTCACGTAACTTTTAACCGCACCCATCAGCACACACACTCCCATTCTAGGCAAGCATTTTCCATATTTGCAAATTTCCACATATTTAAATTAGGTGATGATGGCATTTAAAAAAGTCAAGCAGCTTTGAGACCAGCCAATAGTGACTTTCCTTGCTTGAGATTTGGAAACAGTATTGGTGATTTTATGCATCTAATGAACTGGTGAGACAGCAGAAGGAATATCCCCTTACTCTAGATCTACATCAGCTGATGATATTGGTTATTCAAGAAAAGGTAGGTTTTATAATAGTAAGACTTGTTTTTCTGTGTGTTTTTTATATGTACTTATGGATTTGCTGATATTACAAATTATTTTTACCCCTGTTATTTGATACATAAAACAAGCAATAATTGCAGCGTTAATTGAATTAAAAGTCATAATAGCCTAATACATAAACATAAAACATATATAAATTTGTTTTCATGATCAGCGAAAGACAACAATACTGGGCGAGTGGTATGGCAGGCCAATGTGCTTTACCAGATGTCTCTGGTAAAGCACATTCAAATGAAAATTACTCTTAATTAAAAATACTTATAATTTATTGGAACATATGTAATTATTTCATAAAAGTACTGTCAGAAGTTTAAATTTTGAATATGACCAGACTTTTCCTTTAAATACATTGCGTCCAAGTCAAAATGAACATTTCTGAAATCAATAACATTCTTCCTATCAAAGATGAAAATGTTATTCTACAAATGATATCCCTTTACCAGCTGAAAGGACTTTATTTCTATCTAAAAAAAAACTTCAAAATTCTAACAAGGATAAAATCAAAAATACAAATGTCCATGATACAGTTAATATTAGTCATTAATACGGCATTTTACTGTGCTCAACAACCGCTGCTTTTTATGCCAGCACGCCTATCAAAAAGTCATGTGGAGATAGGATAAGGATATTAATTATGTCTTATCTGCGACTTGATTCAGCCTCACTTTTCTGCACGCAGGCTGAGATCTGCTGAACAGAACTTGTTAATGTTTCAGACTAATCGGTCTCCGCCAGGTGACGTCAATTGTTAACCTCGGGCGCG